TTTATTAAGAAATCTTCAAGACAATCTCCAATAAAGAAGGAAAAACAGCTCTTGCTTACAGTTGAGGAAATGAGGTAGAGAAGGTAAATGTTTACAAGTCATATTTTAAGCTGGTAAGCAGGAGTAAAAGTTAATGTTCACTCCAGCAATCCAGGTTTCCAGTTGCAAGTGTATTGAGTCTCTAAGGAAAAAGCTTATTATTAAGACGAAACAGTAATCTAGTCTGAGAAAAGACACATTTATTTAAGATACCATACCTGTTTAAATCTACAATGTATTTATGTATACTCTGGAAAGCTAGATAAAATCTTGTCAAAATTTCAATGTTGTTTTCACGAAATTCTTCATCTAAATCCAGTAACTCAGGTTTGGCTTCCAGTTTGCCTTCACATGTCTCAGGCCCCTAAGAAAAGAAATTCATCTTTAGACACAATATTTGATTTTGACCTCTATTTGATTTCTCTTCAGTAGAACTGAGAACATATACAACCACTGGGCACCCAACACCAGAATGAGCATTTCTTACCAAAACAAGGATCTGTAGTTTTCCAAGCTACTTTATGACTGAACATCAGTTCTGCTTTTTACAACCTGCTATGATTTTAAATGCAATTTATCCCATGTAACCAAATGGGAATGAATAGTTAACGTTTTTAGTAAAGTCCCAATATATCTGAAGCCACTGTGTGCTTTTTGCAGTGGGAAAAATCTCCCTGCTGGATTTTTTTTCCTTTACACATTTTATCTGATTGATTTCCAGATAGAAATTTTGGCTCACATTGAGGCCCACAAAGCTTAGTACCTTCACAGTATCACAGTATCACAGTATGCTGGAGATTGGAAGGGACCTCAAAAGATCATCTAGTCCAATCCCCCTGCCGGAGCAGGAACACCTAGATCCCATACATTTAACTGCTTAAAAGTATTAGGCCTGTTTTTAACAAACTCTGGATCTAGGTTAGTCTTCCAAATTAATGCAGAAACATGTTAATGTCATTAACAACTATGTGGGGGAAAAAGAGTTGGATGAAGAGCCTGACTTCCTTAAGGCAATGGCACAAATTTTTCTAACTATTTACCACTGTCAACATTTCTCCTACCCATCATTTGGTCTTACCATTGCCACTAAACTGAAAACACTGTTAATGTTTAATTGGAAATATTGTTGACATTTCATTGAAAATACTGTTAATGTCATTCCACAGACCACTTACGACAGTATGAGATCACTGCTTAAAGGGATTTGGTCAATAAAAACTCTGTAAAAATAGCTAAGAAGAGTTAAAATATCAAGGTTAACAACCAGCTGAAAATGTTTGTGTGGTTTTAAAAATGCTCTTCTGCTCTTCTTGTGCAAAATACCTACATAAAACAAAGGATAAAGCAGGCCCCACACTGCCTATTAAGTTCAAACGACAAAGTAAGCAGCCTGAATATTCAAAATCTCAAATCTCTCATTAGGTAAGTCTAAGAATCATGAATACCAAAATGAATCATTTGCAATGAAAATAGATGTAAATTCACTAATCTCTGCTTTAGAAGTACGTCATTTATGGCTTTTGGGGTGCTTACCCTGAAAAGCAGCAGCACTGTTGTGCTTCCTTAACATTTAAAAATCCTGCTATTTTAGGGATAATTGTATTTCTTATCAATTATACCTATCTGCTTTTAAGTTTTCAAGTAATTTGTGTAAGAAAAGAGAAGACTTCCGTCAAGCACTTCAATCTAATGTTATCTGGGAAATCTTTTGTGCTCAGAGTTTTCAGTGTCCAAGGCTCACAGTCAGTGCTTGAAATTTACAACTCTTAAAAATATCCCACAACCTCCTCCCACCACACACTTTACGACTGACACTTCTTGTATTGTACAATCCAGATAAAGTCAGCCTACATACTTCCTTAGTATTCATGCTGAAGAATGACAGAAGGAAATAGGTACTGCAAGAAGCTTAATTTTGTATGGGAAATAAGGGTTCCTCATGGACACTACTCTTTGATTTATTTCTTTATTCAGCACAAGTGACAAGTCCAGTGAAGGAACAATCACAGCACTGTCAAACAGGAAAGCAGTTTTCATGGCTGCAAAGAATAAGCTACAGATAACCAAATGAAGATGGCATCCTGCCCATGGTACTGCTCCAAAAGAAAACAACCAACTGTAAATGCTCAGAACTTGCTGGTGAAAGTATAATTTAATATTTCTGCAGGAAACACCAATAATCAAAATAATAATGCCACACCCCAGGACCCAATACTCAAGTTTTATACAATCAGTATCAACTTAAGTTCACAGGCTGGATGACTAATCAAACATCTTGAAAGGTGCAGCTGGGACCACTCTTGAATGCACTTACAACTACCACCCCCTTCTTGCCCTGATACTCTTAGCATAGGTCCAGTTATACTTTTATTCTGCCTAGGGCTCCACGCACAGAACCTTCCCTAAGCTGTTCTGCCTATTGAAATGAGCAAGATGAGGCTGAGTAGGATCAGAAGGATATAAAATACAAGACAGCCCAGAAGCAGAATGTTAAGATGCAAGCGTATCCCAATTGCTATCTTGCTTTGGTGAATTATTGGTAAATCTGAGCAAGTAAGAAGCTGTAACAGTCAGTTCTGAAGAATGCTTCTAATAAACACAATAGTCAGGAATGGCTGTTTCATAACCTGAAGCATCCTCATGCAGGACACCAACGCTTTAAGGTCAAGTTTAACAGTAAAAGGATTTACCTTAAAATAACTGAAATCAAATATGATATCCCCATACTTCTGTTGATCAGCTTTGTCCTTTAGCCTGAAAACACCAGGAATAAATTCAGAAAGTCTCAGAAGTTCTGCAATGATGGCATTTCCACAGGAGACAATTCGAAGAATTGCCTGACCACAGAGATTGTTTTCAGCTAGGAAATCAACCATGGTGGAGCTGGACGTGACAGAGCAGCAGGAGTCCTGCAGTTGGAGTCTGATTGTTAGCCTTTAGGTTATTTGATGAAGAAAGTCTGATGACAACACTAGCTGCGCCATTAATAACCTGTGAAAACAAACCCACACACATTCAGAGTGCTTATAGTAGCCACTTTGTGTCTACAACCAACAGTGATTGTAATAGGCTTTAGAAACAAAGAAAACTTCTATAACAAGTGGAAACCATACAGCTCCAGTCCTTTATTTATTGCTGAATAATATTGCTGGTCAGCTTCCATGCTGTGGTTGCATTTCTTTGTCAGTTTTATTTATTGACGTGTTTCCTGCAAGATAGAGAGCACCACATTGCTAAAAATAAGCTTTTGTGTTTACCATAGAATGGCTGGAAAAGATCTTAAAATAATCCAGTTCCAACCCCCCTGCCATGGGCAGGGATGCCTCACCCTAGAGCATGTTGCCCAAGGCTCTGTCCAACCTGGCCCTGAACACTGCCAGGGATGGAACATTCACAACTTCCTTGGGCAACCCATTCCAGTGCCTCACCACCCTTACAGGAAAGAACTTCTTCCTTATATCCAATCTAAACTTCCCCTGTTTAAGTTTGAACCCATTACCCCTTGTCCTATCACTACAGTCCCTAATGAAGAGTCCATCCTCAGCATCCCCATAGCCCCCCTTTAGATACTGGAAGGCTGCTATGAGGTCTCCACGCAGCCTTCTCTTCTCCAGGCTGAACAGCCCCAACTTTCTCAGCCTGTCTTCATACAGGAGGTGCTCCAACCTCTGATCATCCTCGTGGCCTACTCTGGATTTGCTCCAGCAGCTCCATAGGATCAGCTAGGTTGGAAAAGGCCTTTAAGATCAAGTCCAACCATTACCCCAGGACTGCCAAGACTACCACTAAGCCATGTCCCTGACAGTCTCATCTACACGGTTTTGAACACTTCCAGAACAGTGATTCTGCCAGTGCCCTGGGCAGCCTGTTCCAATGCCTGAACACCCCCTCTGGGAAGAAATTGTTCTAATATCCAATCTAAACCACCCCTGGTGCAGCTTGAGGCCATTTCTTCCTCTCCTATCACTTGGTACTGGGACAAGAGATTAACCCCCACCTCACTAAAACCTCCTCTCAGGCAGTTGTAGGGAGCGATAAGGTCCCCTCTGAGCCTTCTCTTCTCCAGACTGAACAACCCCAGGTCCCTCAGCCGTTCCCCATCACACTTGTGCTCCAGACCCTTCACCGGCTCCATTGCCCCAGCACTTCAATGTCTCTCTTGTAGCGAGGGGCCCAGAACTGAACACAGTATTTGAGGTGCAGCCTCACCAGTGCCCAGCACAAGCAGATGATCACTGCCCTGGCCCTGCTGGCTATGCTATTGCTGACACAGGCCAGGATGCTGTTGGCTTCTTGGCTGCCTGAGCACAAGCTGGCTCACGTTCAGCTCTGAGTCCACATCTCCAGATCCTTTTCCACCAAGCATCTTTCCAGCCACTCTTCCCCAAGCCTGTAGCATTGCACGGGGTTGCATGTCCTTATGCTGGGGACACCAGAACTACACACAGTACTCCAAGCGAGAACATTTATTGGCAGTTACGAGTTGGCTTGGTTTTTCACCAAACAACCGAGAGGACAGAGCTTCTCCCATCCCCAAACGGGAACCGGGAGTCGCGGTGCGGGTCATCGGTGCTGCCACCAGCTACCTCTGCAGGCCCACGGCTGGCTCCAGACCCCGCAGCACTCGGACGCGGCTCTGAGGTACTCCCTCCGTGTCCCCAGGCCGTTGGAACGCTCCCGCCTCCCTCCCGCCGGCGCCCTCCCTCCCGGTTTGAACCCCGCCTCGGGCAACCACCGGCAACCGTTCCCCCACCCGTCGCTCCCGCCGGCTCCCCTCACGCAGCGGCCTCTCGGCTCACCCTGCCCTGCCGTTGGTGCGGTAAGCAGCGGCATCGAGGGGGCGCTCAGCTCCGCGGGCACCGGCGGGGAGCTGCGGAACCGGGAAGCTGGGGGGGAGACGGCAGCGGCGGCTCTCGGCGCTGCACGGCCGAGCCCGCCCATCACATGACGGCGCCGTCATGTGGAGAGGCGCAGGGTGATGAGGCGGTTCCGCTGCCCGCCGGGCTCGCCTGCCCGGGCGCTGCTCCTGCCGCAGGGAGGGTCGGTGTGGGGCTGCCTGCGGGCCGCGGCGGCTGGGATTAGGTGAGCGGCAGCCGCTGCTGGTGCGCCGGGCTGCCTTCGCCCTCCCCGGCCCCTGTCCCGGCCGAGGGAGCGGGCTGAGGCGGGCGGGGAGGGGAAGCGGGGCCGGGGCCCTCCGTGCACGGCTGGCAAGGGGCAGGGCGGGCTGGGTTCGGTGCCCTGGTTTGCCATGGATGGGACAGGACGGTAAGGCGGAGCGCTGTGGGAGCGGGGCTTCCTGCTTGGTGGGCTCTTGTCCCACTTGGTAGCGTCTCCCCATAATGGATGGTCGCGGACTGTGTCTACCATTAATCCTGGTAGTCAGTGAGCACTTGTCACCTACAGGTCTTGTGTTATAAAAGTAACATTTCCTTCTTATCTCTGCGCTATAGTTTGGGATGTTGAAGCGTAGAGGAATCAGGACATTTGCACAAATACTTAAGTGGCAGAACGGGAACTGTAGTTTAAGTTTGCCGCTTTATAATCCTGCCTGCACCATTTGATCGCTTGTTGAAAGAAAGAAGCCTGCCTTGGTAGTTGCAAATTCTAAGTGCTTCGTTGATGCACCCGTTGAAGCCCTTCAAGGCAAAACATAGTGCCTTAAAAACACTGCTGTGGGGCCAAATCAATGAGGAGCGTGGCTGTTCCTCTGAAGGCAGAATAGGCAGTTGCAAGCTGAAGAATTCACTTAGAAAATTCAAGAGTGAAATCTCTTCTTGGGAACATGAACAGTTTCTAAGAAAAAAATAATCTTTTATTAAAAGAAAACGGAAATGTGTCCAAAAGTACTTAAATTAGTTTCCAGAAGACATCCAAAAGATGACACTACCCATGCAGTGTTACGATTTGATATTGTAAACATTAATTCCTGTTCCCGTGTAGTTTGCTCTGTGCTTCCACAAGCGCCAAGGCAGTGAAAAAACCTTTTTAACTTTTCACTGTTGGGTGTTTTTTTTTTTCAGATTCCTACCTTTCACAGTGTGTACCTATGAAATTTCCAAAAGAAAGCAGGCTTTCTCAGTGAGATTTACCAAGTTCAACAAGGGAGTTAGGTTCTCACTGTTAACTTTGATACACTAGATGAGCTCAGAAAGATAAAGCTCCTAACATGATTTTATATGGCTGTTTAATAGTGTACTTTTGGATCGCAGATGTTCTATACAAATAGTCTTGCTAAGGTGACAAATAAGTGCTTTAAAGTTAAAAAGAGTTAAGTAATGTATCAGCTGAAAGTGGTGGATTCCCCAACAATGGACACTGCCAAGATCATCTGGACAGGGTGCTGGGACATCTAGCCTACATCATGCCTTTCATCCTGGAAAGGTTGGACCAGATGATCCTTGAGGTCCCTTCCAACCTGGTATTCTATGATTGTATGAGAGGAAAGAGTGTGACAACAGGTATTCAGGTCTTAGTCTGCACAATATTCATGAGGAATGTGGCTACGTGGTTCAAATTAGGGTGAGTGTAAGATGCAGTTCTGATGTCCCAGGGAAAGTAACAGAGGGAGATACAGCCTTAGGTGTGCAAAGCTTGGACAAAGTCTTGTGCTGTTCTTTCTATTTAGATATTTTCCAGTTTTCGGTTGGATTATAGCCTGTCAAAGGCTGCTGTTGGTAGAACAGCTCTGTTATTTTGTGTAAGATTCAGATAAAACTTCTGATATACCCCAAAGATGGCTGTGGATTCCATTCTCAATATAGTCCTTGAACATATCAGTTATTCTCTATGTGGACTAATGCAGTATTTCTGTCTACCCAAGACTTATGGGTAGGTTTTCTGTTGTTATTCTGCACACCAGGTTCATGTTTCTTAGATTAGCTACAAGCTGTCTGAGCAAGTTATGGCAAAACGTGAAGAAGGAAGAGCAGACAAAAGTTGGAATTTTTGAGAACAAGCCAACTGATGTGAACAGTGCACATAGATACAGCATAAGCAAACACACTGGAAGGCTGTATTAGTGACAGAGGAGAAGCAGCTAGCCCTTGCTGTAGGTTGTGGGTCTGTGTTGAAAGGAAGGTGGTGGTAAAGAAGATAAACATGATTCCTGTGCGACTATTCTGTACTAATGGAACATTGGTAATTACAGTTTGTAGCATCTTTGGAGGAAGAAGGCAACATTTGTAATGTGGGCTTTTACTTAAATGTTGTTGTCCTAGATGTCTTACTGTTAAGCACATTCTTACGAGAATGGCTCTTTGTTAGATTATTTGTTCTAAGGGCCAACTGTTGAAACAGGCCTGTTTAGTTAGTGAGGCTGAGTTGGATGTGAGAAGTCATATTTCTTTCTAGCCTAATTGATAATATGCCTAGAAAACACAGGCAAATTTTTAGGCATGTGGGCTTTTTTGGATCTGAAATAGAGCAGTAATTTTCAAGTGAATGTAATCACTGCATTTGAACCTCATTGTGGTTTAGTAATAGACGAAATAGAACAGATGAAAACTGCAAGCTGTTTTTTTGTGGTGTAGCTCTGCTTAATATTGAATGGGAGGTGATTTGAAAACCTCTGGTGAATTGCAGTTCCACTGAAATTACTGACATCTCGGGAGCTAAGATGTCATCCATGCTCTCTGATGTTTCAGTGGTTCTGTTGACATTGTGTTATGGTTAGCTATCTCTACTTCCATTTTCTCTCCCAAATTCTTTGTTTGTAAGCTGCATTCAAAATGTATCTGTTATTTCTAGAGTAACGATTTCAAGATGCCAGGAGGTGCGAGAATCTCATTCAACAATGTGGATTCCTCTCTTTCATCTTTGAAAAACTGCCAGTCTTACATAAATACTGGAATGGACATTGCTACTCACGTTGCCCTTGATCTTGTGGAAAGTTTCAGTAAGTATATCCTCTCTTGTATTACATCCCGAATCTGACAGACGACTCATAGGCCTATGTATTTTGACTTAATTGCTGTCAATATTTGTGTTTATTATAGGAACTGTAGCTCTTCTGGCTAGACCAGGATGATTTCATTCCAGTCACTTTATTGTCTGAAATTATAAATTCAGTGAAAATGCAAATACTAGACAAACATTGTCCCAGCTTTATAACACCCAGGACTAATGGTGTTCCAGTGTTTGTTGCCCTTACAGCTTTGTAAAATCTTTTAACATTGCTGAAAGAGATGGAGAAGGCCTCTTAAGTGGGTAAATAGAGTGACTTTCCATTCTAATAGTGCTGCTTTGTGTTTTATTTGATGTTTAGGGCAAGATGTATTAAAGTCATGCTACTAGTTTTGAGTACAGAGCATGAGACATCTGTTAGGGTATAGAAGTTTTTTAAATGTTGTCTGTTTCACTGCTGAAAATCAGGCCCTTTTAGGGTGCTTCAGTTTGGACATTGCAAAGTGGGGTACCTTAAACCCATAATCACTAACACTCATCATTGCTTTTTCGCAGTAACAGGTACTTTAGAAAGCTACTTTTCAAAGGCAAAAATTAGGAGTCCCAGTTCTCTGTCTTCCTATATCTGCGATAACGTTTTCACTAAAACAATAAAAACTTTAAAGCACCCAAACTGCTCATTATGAGGAGAGAATGCGAAACAAAATGTTTGCTGTTTGTTATGAATCTTGCACTCAACTAAGCCGAGGTTTGTGTACAATGGAAGCTTTTCTCTCTGTCTAGTGTGATAGTTCTCTCTCCTTTGACCTTTTCATCCATAGTGGTGTTAGAGAGAAATGACATATCATTTCTAGTGAGGTAGAGGAATGGAAAGCTTGTCTGAATAGTCATCTGGGGATTCCCTCTGAGGTAGAACTGGTCTAACCAGTTCTGTTTCCTCTGCTTTTGCAGTCACCATCTCCTACTTTGCCATAGCAATACATGGAAATACACTGGATGTATGGAATTCTTTCAGTCCCAAGACTGCAGAATGATCCTCAGAAATGAGTTATTTGTACAAAAGTCCAAAGCTTTGATGAAATTCCACCTTTCAGTAGAAGCCTCTGTTGCATTCCCTTTTGGAGGGATGAAAAGCAGGTAAAGCTCCATTGTGCAGCTTTGCTGCTGGGATGTCTGTACATTATACTCCCAGGAAATGTTACCTTCCTCACCTACTTCTGACACATTAATCTTTAATTGCAATCTTGAAATTGTATTTTCCATTTTATTTAGTAACCAAAAGGACCGTGTCCTGAGAGGAAGAGAGTCCTCTTGATGAAATACCTATGGTCATTGTTACAGATAAGTTATATCATGTGGCTGCAAAACAACTCCTACACCAAAAGACTGATCTTACTTTAGCAGGGGCAACTTTCCTGTAGAATCATAGCATTACCAAGCATGACCTTTTAACACAGTCCATCCCACTGCTCTACAGAAAAGGTATTCCAGACCTGGGTTTGTAGTTTGTACCTCTTTGATCTGGTGTTCATGGTGAATTTTTTATTTACAATAGTTGTCTTCACTCCTGTGCTTTCCCTTGCAGGTGTAGGTACGTGTGTACAAGGAACAAATGAGTGAAGCTCCTTCCTTTGTTTCACTCCCCTGACTACCGGAACTTGAAGTTCTTATGCTCCTTCCACAGTGCCTTTAGGAAAGATACAGGGTTTCTGTGGCATAACATACGTTCAGTAAACAGATACTTTCCATGTTTTAGAATTAGCATTATCTCATCTGCCAGGCTTGACTGTTCAGCTTTTACCTCCAACTCGTATGTGGTGATTTCTATTTCTAGAATTGTTACTCATCTCTCCTACTTTGCCTTCATGTTCTGAGGAGAAATACTCATGTAAATTTGAGCCAGCATTAGATAATATGTTTCTGTATTCTTGTTCTTGTCCCATTTGCAGTTTGTTTTCATTTCCTTTACAAAATTTAACTGTCCAGCTTCTGACAGGTTTCATTGCCAGGCCTTGTAGAAGCAAAGGATTCTATTGTGACTGTTATTTTGTTTTACAAGCATTATTCCTGTGAAGGTATTTTGTTCCCTTGGTCTTTCATACTGGACAATGCTGTTTTTTGGGAATAGTACCAAAAATTTTCATAGCAAGTAGAGAGAAATTGAATTTACATCTGAAGATACATAACTGAAAAGGCAGGCAAAGTTAATGCAGTAAGTGATGTCTATTTCCTCTCTTCATTGCTATTCTCCACAAGCCCAATCCTGAAAACAATACTGGTAGGCATATTTGCTAACTAGCACAATAGTGTTTGCTGGACTGGCTACTGCTTAATGAAGTATCATGGAGGGGCTTCCTATAAATGTACCTAATGCTAAGTTAGATCAAAAGGTCTAACTGGATCACTTTTGCTTCCTTTCTTAGGTAGGGTAGTGGGTTTGCTCTCGTGCTGTGTTTGAGATGCTTTCTAGGCAGCAAACGCCATCGTTCTTTATTTTCTTTATATTTTTTGCACAATTAAACAGTGATTTGTGAAAGAACGTGTGTGTGATTTTTCTAGCTTCAGAGCTCTAGTAAAATAGGGAAATAGAAATTAACAAATTTAAATTTTCTTTGACAATGTGTAAAGGGATTTTATGATATCCCTGTTCAGTAAAAATCACTCCCTGCATATTAGTACTGTAGGCCTAGAAAAGGCTCTTTGCTTTCTGACTTAAGTGGAGTACGATATGAAGAATGCTTCTGAAGGTTGTAAAAAGAAAGCAGATTGGTGTTTCAGCACTTCTATATGCATGTAAACTATAAAGCAGCCATATAATTGTTCAGATGGAGCTAAAATCAATGCTCACTAGGGGGCAGAAGAAGATAGGAAGTAAGCAGTACTTCCATTTAAGTTGCAAAAAAGCATTGAAAAGGAATTGGCCTTGTTACCTGTCCCTTGACCATGCTCTCTGAGTAGCTTAAAGTTCTCTCCAGTTAAACTATCCAGAGAACAAAGGAGTTTTACACTGGTTATGGAATCTATAAAATCCTTGCAGAATTATTTTGAATTTTTGTAAGCAGATGGTGGTGATGTTACATAGAATAAAGAGGGAATGAAACTACTTGTTTGATCATGAAACCAGAGGGCTGCTGCTAGGAAGAGGTACCAGACTTGTGGGCAGGAATCGGCTTGGAATATTCCATGAGTTTTAATAACCTTATAATTTATAGTAGCCTTTCTTCAGACATTTTGGATGCTCTGCAAACACCGGCTAAGCCTCTCAGGTCTCTGAGATGTAAATAATGGCTACAGGGATTACTTACTTTACCGCCACTGAAATGAAACTCTTTTGGGTGAATAATGTTTTCTATATGGAAACATTATAACTGTATCATAATCCAAAAGAGAAAAAGAAAATTTCCTCCAACTTACTGAAACAACTGTGAAAACTTTATTGGAGAAGTCAGATAGAGGTTGGATACTAGGGACATCCGATTAGATTGCTTACGCATGAGTAAATATCACAATAGACCTTCCACGCTTTATTTTGACATAATATTTGAAAGTTTCAGAACTAAAGCAAACTGGGTTTTCATTTCAACAGTCATTTCATATGGAGAATGCCTTCTGTTGACTTGAGACTATCTTTTCCCTCCACACCGTAACTCCTTTTAGGAAGTTGCTGTCTACCTGCTGACTCACTTGAGTCCTGCTTAAATGAATTAATCTGTTTCTGGGTAAAGGTAGCATGGCTGCAAGCCAGTGCATGTACTGATGCTACCATTGATTACTGTGCCTGCTGATCACTACTGTGCTGCTTTAGTTAAATTTATTCTGGCTTAAGGGCCCTACATATATCTATGGTTTTATTTTGGATGTAGTTATCAGGTTTGGGGCTCTTTGCCTTTTCTTCCCCTACACATTAATTGTGCTCAGTTCCTATTAACTTGGTATTTTTCCCGATAGGTTTTGTCTTTCAGTTCTGGAGAGATAAAGTAATCTCACTGGACACAGCTATTCTGAGTAGTATAAACAACAGTTAGAGAAACTGATGGGGGAAGAGGGGTTCAATTAAATAATTAAACATTGTAGCATTGCAATAAATAGTGGTCAAAGAAATCCAGAAAAGCAAGGGAATAAATTTCATGACCATGAATTGCAATTGAGATGACTGAAGATCTCTAAAGATTTATAGCTTCTCATCACATGGTCCCACACTTTGAAACGTAGGACAGAATGTACCAATTAATCTAATTCTCCATGACCTTGAATGAGTTTGTTTTACTACTGTCTGCAAAATAATAATACTAATAAAAAATGCTTTCCTATTTCATATAAATAATAGAAAGATTTAATAATATTTCTAGGGAGATTCATATTAATCTCTACTTACGCAGATAGTTCTCTTGACATAAGTTTACAGTACACAATAGTAAATTTAAAGTTATTCCCATCCATTTAAGCTTTATTTAATGCTGTCAGATGTTTTGAGAATCCTAGTGAGGGGTAATATGGAAATATGGATTTTTACTTGGAATTGTAAATAACGACAGACCTCACATGAAGAAGTCAAAAGGAAAATACTTTGCAGTAGAATTAAAATAGCCTGAAATGTCTGTTAGGCCTCTAATGGTACAAACACTCAGAATCTGTTCCCAGCTTTGTACTACCTCCCTTTTCTTTTGTGCCTTCTAGCATGTTCTTCACTGCTGCTGCACTCTGGAGATAAATCTTAAGCTCTAACTACAGTGATTTCCAAGTCTCTTTGTCTAAGGAATGCACTCTTCACGGTGTGCCATAAGGACGAGAGACTACTGTAAGGTTCATTGCCAATCACAATTAACCAAGATTCAATTTCATCAGTGATCCTATTGCTTAGTCCACTAACACTAACACTTTGTTCTAGTCCTGTATGGATTTGTGAAATTACTAGTGTTAAGTATTCAGGTCAGGCATTGCTCATTTATGAACATGTATGCTCTTGAGCAAAATAAAGCAGTTTGTGTTAAC